CAAACCACACCCACTAGCTCCAAATACTCATTCATGGGGCCAACCAATAAAGAACTCAAGGAAAGGGAACAACAAGCATAGCATAACGCCATGTCCTGGACAGTATGCTACGATGATGGTTGCCAAACACACTTTGGCGACAAAGAAGGCTCGGGATGGTTCCCGAGGGAATGCCGAAAGCGTGGCCCACGCCCAGACCACATCCTAAAGCATTGTCAACAATGCTTCAGAAATGGGTGCAGGATGCACAGGGCACAAAAGATATCGGCGGGATTTTACCTGCAGAAGGATGGAAGCCGAAAAGAGTTGGAAGGAGAAGATGCCAGAAAGGCATGGGCCGCGAGGACACGGTCCAAGGAGGGAGGGGCGCAAAATTCCTCGGCAGACACAGAACCGGATGTCAGGAGCCTGCACAGGCAGATCCGAGGACTCCGAGAACAACTGGGCCAAGCCGAGGCCACAATTTCGGCAAATGACAAAACGATCGCGGAGCTTAAACAGCTGAATGACAATTAGCGGCAAACGATCAAGATGGCGAATCTGACTCTGGAATCGGTAAGGGTCAGATGGAGGACGGCAGACGAAAAGATCCACAAGCTGAGAAGGACCATGCGCTCGGCAGGACGGGAACTATTGAAACTGGGAGAAAAAGCCTGATGGGACTCAGGCTTAGGGGGAGGGGAGCTAATGTCACGAACGTGGCTTAGCAAGGAAAGGGTTTTCACGTGACACATGGTTATGAGTCACAGGTATGTTATTGTTTCACGCATATGACCCATTAGGGTTATATGATTAGTTATGTGTAGGATTTGTGATGCTTTCGCACATGGCTCAAATATGAGTCATGGGACATGCGCCTGACGAGTATGCCTTACGAGTGTGCCTTACAGGCAAGCCTTGCGCACATGATTTATGTTTCGCACATGACCTCATTATGAGGTCATGGGTTTTGAGTTATATGATTTGTTTATTGCGTTATGATTAGTTTATGAGTTTCACACATGACCTCACTATAAGGTCATGGGTTTTGAGCATGTGATCACTTTGGTCACATGACTAGTTTGTTTTGATTTGGTTTTAAGCATGTGACCATTTCAGGTCACATGATTAAAGGCGGGAAGAACACTATATAAGGAGGCCGATGCGGCCGCGGAAGATAGGTTCTTCATGCTTTGTTCCAAGTACTTTTCCTGTCTTATAAATTTAACGAATATAAAACACCTTTACGATCTTTATCCTTATTGCAACGTTACTATTACGCCAAGAAGCACTCGTTACGAAGACGAGTTAGAGAAAGCTTACAATAGGTGTTTCCGATAGAAGACAAAGGTCTTGTACTATCGGTAACGTAGGCAGAGGCCTAGAGCTATCGTAAGACAAAGAAAGAACAGGAAAGAAAGATAAGTATCATTCCCCGTCGCCAAGAACTAACTATCTGAAAAGGGATCGTTACACTCATATGCGACCGCGATCAAGTGCTCGAAGTAACAGCATCGTGAGAAACCATCAGGCGACGAAACGAGAAGCAAACAAGTAGTCCACCACGCAACACCTAACAAACCTCAACACCAAAGACCCCAGGAACTACTGAGCGAACTCAGATATATCCCCCAGAATCCAAGGCATCAAGGCCCACCATGAGTGCGAAAGAAACGCTCAGGGCGAAGCGACAGCAAGAAGTAGGACAAGTACTTAGAACAAAGCATGAAGAACCTATCCTCCTCAGCAACATCAGCCTCCTTATATAGTATTCTTCCCGCCTGTAGTCATGTGACCTAAAGTAGTCACTTGTGCAAAACTAAATAATAACAAACTAGTCATGTGACCAAGATTGTCACATGCTCAAAACCCATGACCTCATCGCGAGGTCATGTGTAAAAACTTATAAACTAATCATAATACAATAAACAAATCGTATGACTCGACTGAGTCATATATGTGAAACCCATGACCTCATAACGAGATTATGTGCGAAAAATATATCATATGCACAAGGCATACCCACAAGGTACACTCACAAGGCATACTTGTCAGGCATATGTCCCATGACTCATATTTGAGCCATGTGCAAAAGCATCACAAATCCCATACATAACAAATCATTTGACTCGAATGAGTCATATGTGTGAAACAATAACATACCTGTGACTCATAACCATGTGTCACATGAAAACCTTTTCCTCGCCTAGTCACATTCATGACACTCGCTTAGCCATTGCAACCATGAGGAGGTGACTGTAGTAAACTACCAAAAAGATAAGTAAAAGGAAGAAAGAACTTCCAGCAAATGTATGAGGAGGTATAACAATAAAGTCCCAAAAGGGTGTACAATGTTAAAGACTTGAAGCCTATCATGACATAGAAATCAAGAACTCTGATTGGATCGAGATGGAACCTTCACATCCGATACGGGGTGAAAGAAGGAGCAAAAGTACTTAGAATAAAGTGTGAAGAGCCTATCCTCCTGGGCTATACCAGCCTCCTTATATAGTACTCTTCCCGCCCCAAGTCATATGGCCTCAAGTGGTCACATGCATGAAACTAAATCATAACAAACTAGTCATATGACCAAAGTGATCACATGCACAAAACCCATAACCTCATAGCAAGGTCATGTGTGAAAACCCACAAACCAATCATAATGCAATAAACAAGTCATATGACCCAAAGTGATCACATGTGCAAAACACATGACCTCATAATGTGGTCATGTGCAAAACATAAATCATATGTGCAAGCCATACCCACAAGGCATACTTGCGAGGCACACTCATCAGGTACATGTCTCATGATTCAAATTTGAGCTATGTGTGAAATATAACAAATTATAACATAATAAGTCATGTGACCCAAATGAGTCATATGCATGAAACAATAACATACCTATGTCTCATAATTATGAGTCATGTGAAAACCTTTTCCATTCCAAGCCACAACCATGATACTTGGCCATTATCTGGAATAACATAGAATAGAATAGAGCAGGATAGATGTTCAAGAACAGCGGATGCTTGGAGAAGACTACATGTATATGTGTAGAGAGTTCCATAGTTGATATCGCATCCACTCGGACATGGCAGTTCACTACTGACATGTCCATAATATGAAGAATTTTTACTCTTACAGTTGCATTGTAAATGCAGCGGCTAAACCACTTCTATCAAGTCGATGTCAGTAAAACCATAGAGCAGTCTAGTTCGCTACGAAGCATTATTGGTCTGATTCGTAGAGGTTTGCTAGGCAGCCCAAGGGAGTTGGGTGCTCATGAATACAGACTAGTAATAGGGAACAACTGGCAGTATATGAAATCTACTTAGGTGTATGTGAGTTCTCCTCTACTCTGGCAATCAACTACCTTTCGAGATCAGGACATAATTGAGTAAAGCTGTGGCTTAACGATAGTAGGTTTTACTGTTTTTTTTCTTCAAACTCTACTGTCGAGACTGACAGTCATTATATTGTTTCCATTTGCCAAAGAATTTATTTCAGTACAGTCGCCATCTCGCAATCTATCTTCTCAGAGGGAGCCCCCATTACGGTTAGCAAACTACAGAGTAGTCCAGTTTACTACAGAGGCTCTTTGGTCCAATCCGTAGAGGTTGGCTAGACAGCCCAAAGGAGTTGGGCTCTCATAAATGCTGAGTAGTGATGCTGAGCAACTAGCAGTATATGAAATCTACTTAAGTATATTAGAATTCTTCTCTACTCTGGTAATCAACTACCTCTCAAGATCAGAACTTAATTGCGTAATGCTGTGGCTTAACAATATTAAGTTTTACTGTTTTGTTTCTTCAAACTCTACTGCTAAGACTTTGAAATTTTATTATATTTATTCCCAAAAGAATTCATTTCGGTGTGGTCGCAACCTTGAAATCTATCTTCCCAGATGGAATCCCCATTACAAATACTAAGTAAGACTGAAGCAAAAATGCAGTAGAAACAAGAATCAACATCATACAATGTTGGCAAAGGTGGGAAGAAGATCTCAAGAGGGTAGACCTCAGGAGAGAAGGTAAAAGTAGTATTCTAACATGATGGAAAGATGGAAAGTTCTAGCCTAGTCCTCCTTCTAAGTGGAGGATCAGACATGAAGAGTTATGAGAAAAGTTTGCGGTATTGAGGTCTTCCCAAATAGGAATTAAATTTCAATCACTAGAGCAGTAGCAGAGACAGAGGATAATTAATAGAACTAAACAGATTGTTTTAATCTATATTTTATCAGTAAAGTAAGAAAGATAATATCTATTGTTGTTTAATACATTTCATTCTCCTTTCTTATTATTGTATCATCCCAGAAAACTTGAGTTATCTCAAGTACTTGAGCTATGATATTAGTAATATTTCTTACCTTGGTATTGCTAGTATAGAAATGGTAATCTTGTTAAGAATTCTTAATAGGGGTGGTGGTAATCTAATCCTAGTATTTAGGTATTAGTAGGTTAGTGATTAAAATTTGTTTTCTTCTAGCAGTGTTTACTCTTTGCGTCACTTATTACAATGAATTACAATATGAAGACACTTTCTGTAGCAGTACATTCTAGTTCTTATAAGGGAGGGGTACTCATGCGGTTGGATTAAAGCTGGACACTTTGTATGGAAATTATCGCCTTAGGTGTCTCGCTCCATCTCGGCTGCACGAGTAATAATAATCAGTAGAATCTCAGGTAATGATTGGGTTAACTGAAATGCAAGCAAAGATATAACCTAACTGTATAGAAAGATTTTTAGGCATGACATTCTTAGCAAGAAAGCGGGAAACAAAGATCAATCATTTCACATAGGAGTAATAAGAGGAACCAGGAAAAGAATAACGCGAACAAGAACAATAAATAGGTCTGGCAAGGGGAATAAGCATTCTGGATGAAGCCTTTGAGTATGATATATCATAAGAAATACTCATATACGAACATCACTTTCTATAACAGGGTTAGGGTTATTCACTTGAGAACAGTAACTCCTAGAGCGGCGAGGACAAGCGGATCACCTTCAACCTCGACCACGCGTGATTTATCGCCAATCCCCCGCCACTAGCAAACGATCCATCGGATTCTCATCCCCATCCCGAAATACTGTATCTTATCTTCGATAATAGGAGACCGTCAAGATGTCTGGTTAGTTTGCCCGATTCGCCTTGATTCGCAAATTATCTGGAAGCTATGGAGGGGTACTTGAGTGCTAACCGGCGAAATCATAGGGAGCGCCGGATTTGATCGACACATTACCATCTTCTCGGATCAGGGGAGGTTATACCAAGTCGGTTAGTTATTCTATCGAGACTACGGTTTGATAAGCAAGGAGATCATCGAATGATGTGGGGGATGTAGTGTTGAGCCTCAGAAAGCTGATTGATTTGGTAGAATATGCGTTTAAGGCCATCACAGCAGCAAATATTACCTCCATCGGTATTAGAGGAAAAGATTGCGCGGTTGTGATTTCTCAGAAGAAAGTTCCTGTACGTTTTACTGGTGACTTGCTTTCGATGGTCGGGGAGCGGTGTACTAATAAGTTGTGCAGGATAAACTTCTTGACCCTTCTTCTGTTACATACATTTTCCAGTTATCACCCTCTGTTGGCTGCGTTATGACTGGGTCTATTGCCGATGCTCGTGCCGCAGTTTCTCGTGCTCGTGGGGAGGCGGCAGAGTTTAGGTACAAATATGGTTATGAGATGCCTTGTGATGTGCTTTCAAAGAGGTTGGCGAATATCAACCAAGTCTACACCCAACGTGTACGCCCCCTAAGTCATCCGGTGTTTGTTCAATACTAAGTCTGTTCTAGGCGTACATGCGTCCGTTGGGTGTCTCCATGACCCTCATATCCGTCGACGATGAGATGGGTCCTCAGCTCTACAAAACCGATCCGGCTGGCTACTATGTCGGTTATAAAGCTACTTCTTCGGGACCCAAGCAACAGGAAGCCCTCAACCATCTCGAAAAGAAGCTCAAGAATAAGGATTATGCTCCTGGTGATTGGAAGGAGGTCGTAGAAACAGGAATCTCGGCTCTGAGTTCTGTTCTAAGTGTTGACTTCAAGAGTGGGGAGGTCGAGGTCGGTGTCGTTGGTGCAGATGGGAAACCTGGGTTCAGAAAATTGACTCAGGAGGAAATCGAAGAGAGGCTGCAGAGCATTGCAGACAAGGACTAGGCGGAATATCCTGGACGGGGTTGATCCCTGTTACATTGAATAGAATGTTAATGGCTCTCGCCATAATTAATGTGAATACGGAGCGATACCCTTTGTGCTGTGAGTTTGGTGATATTGTTTTTAGTATGCTTCTCTAGCAAACGATTATAGGATGAGGGAGCTGTAGCTGGCGGAGACGTGAAAGGTGGATATCACAAAAGATAATTATCGTGACTTTTCAATCACTTGCGCCCAATACATAGTTGATTTTACTTAATATCTTGAGCTTGCAAATGGAAATTTGTTATTCAAAATTCCAAAATATTCTATTAATTCGTGCGGGTAGATGTTCTAGAGCTTGATATGGATCCTTGAGCTATGATGATAATACTCCTCTGGATGTCTTGGTCCTTAGATAAAGAGGAGCTAGCGCCCGTATTTCTCTAAACATCTTGTGTCTGTCCACCGGGGCAATTTAATTTAATTTAAAAGAAACTGTTAGAATGAGTGCTATGTTTACTATTGGCAACATCATCGGTCCACAAGCAATAACTATCACAAGCCCCCCATACCGGTATTATTAGGCCGATAATGCAGATAAAAGCTAGTTAGAGTAATCCAACTATCCTTCTACTATTTACCATTAGTTAATTTTCCATGAGCTCTTGCTGCCTGCACGATAGGGTTTCTTAGATGCTGAGAATGTGCCTCTGCGAAAAATCCATGGAATTTCTTTCCCAATCAGCTGCCAGTGCCCAGTCAATAAATTTTCATTGCTCGAGTAAACTTCGTATCACAATTGGTAAATATCAGTATTGGAGGCACTAGGTCTTGGCATTTTGAACAGTCAATATTGCCCACTATCTAAGTCCCAACCTCACCGCAACCGCAACTGCAACGCACTCCACCCCCACTACCAACGCAGAGTTCATAACCGCCCTTTTACCACCTCCGCTTTCACAACATAATACAAACCACCTAACTACAACAATAACCACGCTATAAATTATTGCACCAAACAAGAAGATGGCGAAAGGAAAGAAGGGAAAGAAGGCCCACGATGATTCGTGGGAAGACGACATAGATACCCAGGCCCCTGTCGACCCTATAGCAGCCGCCGCTGCCACGGATAGCAAACCCGGAACGGCTCAGCATGATGACATTGGAGGCGGTGGCTTAATGGCCGCGATCAAGAAGAACCGGGACAACAAGAAAAAGAAAGGCAAAGCTGTCAAGCCCCTTAACGACGAGGTTACAGAAGACGGCGATGATGCTGCTACACCTCCGGTCGACGCCAAGGCTCCTACTGAGGTTATAGAAATTGGAGAGGATGACTTTGGCCCTGTGAAGAAGGGTGGAAAGAAGGGGAAGAACGCTCCCGCAGCGGCCGCACCTGTGGAAAAGACCGAGGAACTAGGAGAGGATGAGGTCCGGGGTGCAGATGGGGAGGTCAGGGTTAAGACAAAGAAGGAAAAGGAAAAGGAGAAGAAGGAGAGGGAAAAGCAGCGAAAGAAAGAACAGGTTTAGTTTTACTCTTTTATTTATTTAATACTTTTTGCGGTGGTTAATTATACCGTAGGCCGCGAGAAAGAAGCAGACTGAACCGACCAAGGCTGAGGAAAAGAAGGAAGAAGTAGCCGCAAAACCGATGGCCCCGTCGGCTGCTGTGCCGGACCCTGCTGGTGGGAAAAAAAAGAAAATTCCTGCTGCTTTGGCAGCATTACAGAAACAGCAGGAGCTAAGGCGAAAACAGGAAGAAGAGGCTGCTAGGATCGCGGAGGAGGAGAGGAAGCGAGAGGAAGAGGAGGAGCGAATTCGCCAAGAGGAGGAGCGAGCGAAAGCTGAGGCTAAGGAGAAGAAGAAGGAGAAGGAGAAGGAGCGAATCGAAAGATTGAAGAAAGAGGGCAAATACATGACCAAGGCTGAAAAGGAGAGACAACGAATGGCGCAATTGAGGCTTCAGCAAATGGTGGAGTCGGGCATGAAAGTGGAAGGTCTTGAGGGTGGTCCTGCGGTAGAAAAGAAGAAACCGAAGTATGAAAAGAAGCCTAGAAAGGGGGACGGCGGTAAGTCAAAGGCTGAGGGTGATGAAGAAAAAAAGAAGGAAGAAGAGCGGCTAGTTAGCGAGAGGAAGGCAAAGGAAGAAGCAGAACGGAGGAAGGAGGCTGAAGAAGGTAAATTCCTTGATCGTGCCTCCTAACATTGCAGTGTTGACACCTAGATAGCTGCTGCTGCTGCTGCTAAGAAAGAAGAGGAGGATGTGCCTGACAGCTGGGAAGAGGCATTTGACCAGGATGGCAACATCAAGGAATCTTGGGACATGAGCTCTGAGGAGGAAGAGGTTGAGACTTCCAAGAAACCAGGTAGGTTCTGCTGTGAAATCGCCACTCTGGCACGTGAACTTACTTACGTTTCCCACAACGGAGCAGCCAAAGAGCCCAAAGCCGCTCCTCCAAAGGATGGAAAGGGACCTTCAAAGAAGTCGCCTGACGCCGATGAGGAAGAGGATAGCGATAGTAGTGATGAAGTGCTCGTCGATGCATCAGTCGCAAAGCGTCTTGCGGAGCAGAGGAAACAGGAGCAACACGCACGTCGACAAAAACAGATTGACGAAGCAAAGGCGGCTGCTTCAGTCGAAAATCTACGCTCTCCTATCTGCTGTATTCTCGGTCATGTTGACACTGGTAAAACCAAGCTTCTGGATAAGATTCGGCAAACCAATGTCCAAGAAGGTGAAGCCGGTGGTATTACTCAACAGATTGGTGCTACTTACTTCCCAATGGACGCTATTAAGCAGAAGACCGCTGTGGTGAACAAGGTACGCCCGTGCTTCTTGGAAGTGGGTAAAATGGTACTAACATCTTTAGGATGGTAAAATGGAATTCAAAGTGCCTGGTCTTTTGGTCATTGATACACCAGGGCACGAATCTTTCACTAATCTTCGGTCAAGAGGCTCTTCGTTGTGCAACATTGCAATTCTGGTTGTTGATATCATGCACGGGCTGGAGCCTCAGACTATCGAGTCCCTCAACCTCCTCCGAGACCGAAAAACGCCCTTCATTGTGGCGTTGAACAAGATCGATCGTTTGTACGACTGGAAAGCCATCCCTAATAACGGGTTTCAGGACTCCCTGGCAAAACAGAAGAAATCCGTTCAGAACGAGTTTAAGGATCGTCTCGAGAAGACCATCGTTGCTTTCCAGGAAAATGGTCTCAATGCAGCACTTTTTTACGAGAACAAGAACGTGGGCAAATATGTCTCCTTTGTGCCAACTTCTGCTCACACGGGAGAGGGCATTCCGGATATGTTGAAGCTTCTTGTTACTCTAACACAGCAACGTATGGCCGGGAAGTTGATGTACCTTTCTGAACTTGAGTCCACCGTTTTAGAGGTCAAGGTTATCGAAGGATTAGGAACGACAATCGACGTTATCCTTTCCAACGGTGTACTGCGGGAGGGTGACCGGATAGTAATGTGTGGACTTAACGGACCTATATCAACAAATATTCGAGCCCTGCTCACCCCACAGCCATTAAAGGAGCTGCGCATCAAGTCACAATATGTCCACCACAAAGAAGTCAAGGCAGCTTTGGGTGTGAAGATTGCAGCCAACGACCTAGAACATGCTATTGCCGGTTCTCGGCTACTTGTTGTCGGCCCTGACGACGACGAAGAAGATCTAGAAATGGAAGTTATGAGCGATCTTGAACAACTCTTCAGCAAGGTTTCGAAATCGGGCGCAGGTGTCGCTGTACAGGCCTCCACCCTAGGATCGCTAGAAGCCTTGCTTGCGTTCTTGAAGTCCAGCTCAATCCCCGTCTCTACTATATCCATTGGCCCCGTTTACAAACGTGACGTTATGCGGGCTGGGACAATGTTGGAGAAGCATAAAGAGTAAGATTTCCCTCTCCATCCGCTACTATTTCTGCTTAGGTGGCGCAACTAACATTTATCAGGTATGCGGTAATGCTTTGCTTCGACGTTAAGGTCGACAAAGAAGCGCAAGCATATGCAGACGAAGTTGGAGTAAAGCTTTTCACAGCGGAGATTATTTATCACTTGTTCGACGCCTTCACAGCATACAAAAAGGTTCAACCCACTCCACTTTCATTAAAATTAAATGATTCTAAATTAACATTGTTGAAAAGGAAATGTCTGAGCAAAGGAAGCGCGAATCTGCCGCGAACGCCGTCTTCCCATGCATCCTTAACCCTGTTGCCGTCTTCAACAAGAAAGACCCCATCGTCGTTGGCGTCGATGTCGTTGAGGGTAGTCTTCGTATCGGAACGCCCATCGCGGCAGTAAAGAAGAATCCTATAACCGGTGAAATGGAAACAATTTCTCTAGGCAGAGTGTACGACCCATCCCCTTTCTTCCTTTTCACGTCATACTAAGGATGGTAAAAATACAGTACAAGCATCGAACTAAATCACAAAGCCATCCCCATCTGCAAAAGAGGCCAACCATCTGTAGCCGTCAAGATTGAGGGACCCAACCAACCCCTGTACGGAAGACAATTGGAAGAGAAGGACACTCTCTACTCACTGATTTCCAGAGTCACCATTGATACGCTCAAAACTCACTTTAGAGAAGAAGTCCCGAAGGACGATTGGCAACTTATCATCAACCTTAAAAGGATTTTCAATGTTGTATAGGTACACATTTGTGGGTTACTTTCCTAGATTTTCGACCCTTTCTTCATATATTTATTTCTTTAGCGTTTCTATTGAACTGAGGAGCTGGAAGAGGAGAGCGGCGGCGGTGGTTTTTCATTCCCCAGTGTGCGGTAGTAACAAAAGTTGTGGCAATTGCGTCCTTTTTTCTATCCTCTACTCTTCTATCTTTTCTCTATTTCACTCTTTTTCACTCCTCTGTTCACGTTTAGTATGATATACTTGATTTTTTCCCCTTTGCTTTTCACACTCCCCTTTGCTGAAGGATGTAAATACTTGCCCAGTAGTTAGGGTTTGTTGAAAATTGGAAGTTGGTATCGCATCATATTAGGATGTTCGTATCATATTATTATCTAGATATTGTGGGCGAATGTGATTCAGGGGCTATGGTCCCCGAGTGGGGGAAAGTGAGCCCTAGGTTAACCACCGCAGCTTGAAGTCATCTCTTTGGCATCCACAGTATCTCACTGCGATGCATGTTACTCCGGCTTATCGTATGATATGTACCGTGGGAATGAGCAGGGGGTTTCCGTCCCTCCCGTTCCAATCAGAACCCGTCAAGACCAGATCATCTATTATCACTCGCTTAACAGTTAACCCGGTCAACGGCAAAGTGGAACTTTTATGGGCGGGCTTGGAGGTCGCGGTCGATGCGCTGTTATATAGCCAGCCTGGGGGTAAATTCTATGAGTAGTCGGACGGACGATCTATTCGCCTCATGGACGCGTCTCCGAGAATAGTTCAGATTTGGACACGCTTATCCATCGTTGGCTCCTCCGGGGGGTGGTGGAGTGAGCGATAGACTCGTTACCCGTGAGGCACGATGACATGGTGCCCCGGCGGGTAGCGGTGTGGGGATTTGGGAGGCGGTCGAGCTGCCGGATTGGAGGAAGGGTATCGACGTTATGAACTAGTTGACGTGGCACAATGGGGAGAGGATCCCTTTACCAGCCCCCGCGCTGATTGTCCAGTAAATGGCCGACACGAGCGACACATCGCGCGCGGGAAAAGGGCCCCCTCTTACGGGTGTTACTTACGGATGGAATACTCGACGTGAACCTTGGATATCGGGACCTTCTACCTCGTTAGCCGTTACGACCCCCGAAGGTTGGGAAGCTGAGGTTCGGCTTCTTCTGGGTGACCCCCAGTTCGTTGTTGGCACGGGCCATGGCACGACGGTATTACACAGTATGAAGCTGGGAGGAGAGGTCGTGGTGTGATCGGGTTTCTACTGAAGGAGGGGATATTTGGCGTCAATGAGATGGATGCCGATGGTTGCGCTCCACTGCCACTGACAGCGGAGCTGGGGTGGCTCCCGCTGTTAGAGCTCTCCTGGGACATGCAAGGGTTGATGTCAACCTGACCAACAATAACGGCGACACTCCAGTGCAGAGCACTGAATTAGAGGTTGAATTATGATACGATAGGAAATCCCCCCCGCCTAAATAAGCCTCACCAAGAGGGCCCGCGCATAGCACGAGAACCCCAACACGTGCCCTAGAAGCACTCACCCTCCGTTAAAAGAAGAGACCCAAACAAGCTCAAACCCGTAACTCTTCTTCCCACTCTCAAAGTTCCAATACAGTCTTATCGCGAGTGATTATCCATGATCTACATTACGTTTTTGTTTACATGGCTGACGCCCAGAGAATCACGATATAAGCACGGCCTGGACATAAAGGCACCACGCCCCCGCTGGCATCACCATCACTAGTTAGGTGCAGGTATAGGCACGGTATCCCTGTAGCGGACCCCGCGCTCCCCGATTGGTTTACTAGGGGGGATTTTTTATTTTTTTTCGTCACCCGCTGCCCCTTGCAGGCACCATAGGTACGGATACTCTATCACAGATGAGGATAGCAAGTACATACGATACTACACAGGAAGTTCGCCGAGGTAAGTATTCGAGAGCTCCGGACGGTCTATATCGATTGACGGTAGCTTTTTTCAGTCAGATGCATGAAGGATTTTTTTTTTTTTTATCTTCTTCTAGCTTGCGACTCCGGTCCAGCTCCAGGCCTCGCCAGGACTACGAATACCGTGCGTGCGCCACTAGGTGTATGATGTGATAAAGCGGTTTAGGGCCTGTTCGGCAAGTACCATTTAGAAATATCATGATTCCCTTTTTCCGAAAATATCATAGCTAATTTCCTATCATAACGCTTAGAAAAAATGTCTAGCTTCTAGGCTAAAATATAGAAGGCCTCCCACGATATCATCCTAGCCTAAGGAGAGGGTATCAGGAACACTAGTAGTTATGGGGTAGGGAAATTAGACACGTTGCAACTTTTCCTACGGTTCCTGGTATTCCTACCGTATTACCTTCTCCTTCGGCCAGGATGGATCGAGGGGCATCATCTACTAAGCTATCATCTCCACTCTAACCCAAAAGCCAAACCTATTAGTCCATGGAGAAATCATCTGTTTTCAAAAATACCATGATTTTCCAAAAATGGTAACAAGCCGAACATGATCCCTAATTAGATGTATAACCGTGACGAGACGCAGATCCAGAACAGGGATACAATAGCGGTACTCGCCCGTGCAAGGAGCGTAATGATACCCCGATACCAGATCCAACAGCAAAGCTTCGTCAAAACTCTCCAAAGCGATGTATAAAACCCTCCATTCTCCCCCACCCGCGATCGACCGCCCCACACGAGACAAGCTCTTTCCACCCCCCCCCCGAAAAAACCGCAAAAATGCTGGTCCCACAATACGTCCTCCTCCTCCTCTTCCCATACCTAACCCTCACACAACCAATCCCCCCGGTAGAAAAATCCCTTGCAAATACCAACGGCACACAAGCACAAACCCCCACCCCTCACCACCCACACGATGCACCAACCCTCCTGCCAAGGGGAAACGCCCCCAGCAAGCCGTTCAAGAGCCTGGAGAAGAAGATAAAGAAGCTGCTGAAGTGGGAGGGCAAGGACAAGAAGGACAGGAAGAGCAAGAGCAAGAAGAAGGATAGGAAGAAGGATAGGAAGAAGAAGGATAAGAAGGGCAAGGGCAAGGGCAAGGAGAGCGACACACCAACTATCTTCGCACCAGGCCCGGACGGCGGGTGGTGGGAGCTGAAGCTGGACGGGCCGAAACCGGGGACGACGATGGCCCTGCCGACCATCCTCGGGGCGGAGTACCACAAGAACTCGATGAGTCCGTTGTCCCCCGTCGATTCTTGGTCTCCCCCCAGCCCTCCAATTGTCCCTCCCGACCAGCCGAAGAAGCGGCATGCCAAGAAGGACTGAGTAACTAGCGAAAAAAGTGGGATTTATGTAGGAGAGGAGTTTGGATTTATTGTGGCTGTATTGTACTTATTGTACTATAATGAGAAAAGAAGAAAGAAAGGGTGAAAAAAAGGGGGGGGAAGAAAGAAGAGAAAAAACGATTCAGCCATCATTCACTGGTATCGAGTGAGTGTTTGTGATTCGCTGTTGAGACCAGATGAGGGTGTTGTTTTGGGAAATGATGCATACCGGTATGATACAACAGTTTGCCAGCGAGATTACATGATTACCATTTAGGGTATTGTGAAAGACCTCTTCTGTAAAGTTGATTGTTGAGGGGGGGCGTTGTTCTTTCAGGATAGAGTATCATACAAACCACCCGTACTCGTACCGTATGATACGAGTTGGGGCCCTCATATTTTGAGCCTGAGTCCTCCGGCCGTTACGATAATTGACTACGTGGTCATCCACGAGTCCCACAGTATGGAATGTATTATATCAAGATGACGAGGAAAAGAAAAAAAGAAAAAAAGAAGGGGACAAAAAGGTGAGATCGTGCTGGAGACGATTATTATTATATCATAACAATCCTCATGAAGCTAATCTATGTTGATAAATCACCGTGAAATCACCATTCAATTCCATTCACCTGGTATCATACGATGAAATGCACCATGATACCTTGTATTATATTATATGATAATAATATTATGATGATATATACATACACACCAGCAGTCAAGCAAGCACATTATCATACTCCCTCCCCATATTAATACAACTTCCCATGCATAAATCCATTCGCCCATCCACCCATCCAATCCTATTGGCTATAAAAGGGAAAGAAAAAAGGGGAAACAAAAAGAAAAGAAAAGAAAAGAAAAGCCGCTTTATGTTTTCAGCAAGTACGATATCAATACGTCAAAGCGATCATCTAACCGTAAGAAAAGAAAAGAAAAGAAAGGCATTTAATCAATCATCATCATCCTCAACATCCATTTCCTCCCCTTCGTCTTCGTCTACCGTAAGCAAAATTAGCAGAAAATCCCACCCAACATTCCAAAAGCAGGAAAAAAGCCAAACTCACCACTCTCCTCATCCCTCTGCCTCTTAACCCCAGCTGCTGCTGCTGCTGCTGCGGGAGGAGGAGGAGGAGGAGGAATACTAGGCGCACCCGGCAACTCCGCAAACGGCACCTTCTCCCCCTCCCCCACACCCCCCCCGCTTCCACCCCCAGCTGCAGCCATACTATACGTCCCATCCAATTTCGAAACAGCATGCGATTTACCTTTCCCGTAGAATATCCTCTACAAATGAAATAATGATAAAACCCCCTCCTAATTAGTAACTAACATGAAAACGGAAGGGGGGGAGGAAACAATACCATTTCCTTCCCAAAGAACTCGAAGCCCTGCAGCGCGCGCATCGCCTGCGTCGCTGCCGCCACGTCTCTGAAGGCGATGTGTGCCTGTCCGCGGCCCTTCATGGTCTTAAGCGCGTTCACGTCTAGGACCACGCCGTAGGTGGAGAAGAGGGTGTACAGCTCAGTGCGCAGGTCCTGTTTGCGGACTTTGTCGTTGAGGTTTTGAACGTAGAGGGTTTGGTTCGGGGGGAGTGGGGGGGCGGTGGTGGATTGGTGGGGGTGTTTTGATGCCATTACCGGTTGGTGGTTGGTCTAGATGGTGGTGGTGGTGGTGGAATTGAGTTATTGGTTTGATTCGCGGGTTCGTGCGGTAGATGGAGGATGGTGGTTGTTGGTTTTGCGTTGTGTAACTTTGTATTTGAAGAACCGGTTTTCTAGTCTTAGCTTTAGGATTACCCGGCTGTGAGGACACACAGGGTCACTCGTTTCAGCCATCGAAATGAGGATTTCACCCCGAAATTTTCACGGGTCATCATATTCGCACTTCAACGTTGCTAAGATGGTAATATATTTCCAACTGCTGGGCACCATACATCACAGTAGATTAACCCCACCATCTCGCTCCCGACTCCATATACGATAGTCAGCCAGGCCCCATCCGCCACTACCAACCCATACCATCGACCTGCATGTCTCCTTCCATCCCCCAAATATGCATCAATGCCAAATCCCCGAACACCTACCAACTAAGCCACAGTCCACACAGCTAGATGCCATTGCTTCACCCACTCACTACACTATACCACATACTATACTATATTGTAATATACCCCCCCTCCCCATGGCTTATTATCCCCTTATCACCCTCCGGAAATCCATTTCAAATTTCCATGCCCATTGATCGAATTGACACCAAAGGAGAAAGAAAACGAGAAGCAAAGCTTCCACCATTACAAAAAAGCTAAGGTATCTCCAAAACAATTTCTCCTGCCGAGCCCTAATGAAAATGAAAATGAAAATGAAAAAATGGAGAGAATGAAAAGTGAAAATGAGCGTAACATAAACAAAGAAAAGAATGAAAAAAGCGGTATATATATAGCACATCCAACTAAGAAAACTCCAAGCAACCCCGCACGAGACAGAAAATATTTTTCCCTTATCAAAACTACTGCCTGAACGACAAACTTGCAAAAGCGTCGGGGCTGTGTCGCCCACTCTGCCATGCTCCAAAATCCACACTTTCCTGACTCATGTGACCTCGACCGCCGCCAGCACCCACTGGAGGGGCAGATGGGAGGAACGGGTTGTTACTACCCGCTCCGTGGGTCACTGGTGCTGGGGCTGCCCCCCCGTTGGCGAACGTGGTAGCCAGGCTCTGGGGAGCGTTAGAAACAGGCACCTGGCTTTCCTGCTGCTGTTGTTGGGCGGGATTATTATTAGGCGGAGGAGCCAGATGAGGATAGTTGTATAGCGCCAAAATTGAAGATTTATCAATGCCAACACGCTGAGGGATTGGTGGTTGTTGTGCTTGGAGGTTAGATTGGTACGGGTTCATTTGAAGTTGTTGGGGGTACGAAAGCGTGGCGGGAGCAGGTGACCACTGCTGCTGTGAGCCGTAGAGGGCCTGTTGCTGTTGTAATTGGACTTGGATCTGGGTTCGTGTCTGAGCCTGGGCTTGTTGCTGAGTTTGTTGCTGGATCTGTTGTTGAGCTTGCTGCTGCTGCTGTAACTGCTGTTGTCGTAATTGCGCTTGCTGCTGTTGTTGAGCCTGCTGCTGCTGCAGATATGGATTCTGCTGCGGGACCGGTGGTTGTGTCGGGGGGTTGTACGGCTTCTGAATCGGTGGGGCCGAGCCACTTAAAAAGGGATTATAACCGCCGATTCCCCCATTTATATTTACAGAGCCGGCGGTCGCCGGTGTGGAGGTGGTCACAGCACTGGTAGTAAAGCTAGCGTAGGGATTTGTCTGCGGAGTTTGCATCTGTTGCGGCTGCTGGGCGAACCCCTGGTAACCCTGTCCTTGCCCATATGCTGTATTTCCGTTAACTTGCTGCTGGCTCTGCTGCTGAGTGTCGAACCACTGATGCCCGCTTCCATAACTCGTAGCCGGGGCAGGTGCCCGCGTCTGATACGAATTTTGATACCCCATAGAAACCTGTTGCTGTTGCTGTTGCGGCACTATCTGGGGGGGTACGTTCTGCGGCTTAATCCCACCAACCTCCGTAGCACCAGGTGGTAGGGGCGGTAACTCCCGGTCCAGAGCATCGAACGGATTCACGCTCCCACCTGACTTCTGAATGCTAATCCCAGCCGGTGGGTTATCCGATGGCGAGCTGTTGTTCCCAAGTCGTAACAAAATCTCCGAAGCCTCGATGATTTTCCCGTTCACGCTTTTGAGAACCTCCATGATCTTCCGTTCATCCTTGAAACCCATATCCTTTAGACTCTGCAGCTGCTCTTGGTACGGCGGGGCCACAACCATTCCGTGCGGGAAAACCACTGGGCCGGCAGGGGGCGCCTGTCGAGCGTCAGTGTATGGCATTGACCCCAACCCGAGAACTTGGGAGACCTTCGAAGAGGACGACGACGGAGAAGAGGTACGGACTGGTGGGTTTCTCGATGCCACGTATCCAGCAGACACAGATCTAGTCGGGGGAGCTGTTATCCGGGACGAGGAGGCCGAAGCATTAGATGAAGGAAAGGAAGCATTAGACGAAACAGGCGAAGGTAAAGACAGACCACCCGTGCTCGATGAAGCACCAGAGGATATAGATGAGGTAGATGAGTTCTTCGGCTGCGCAGTTTCCCGCATGAACAATTTGTACTCGTATTTGTTTCGTATATACCGTTCCATAAGACTATCCGAGTCCTCGCCGTTGAGGGGGACGGGGTGCTTGCTGGCGTCGGGATTATGAATGGTGTTACTTATGACGTTCCCTCTAGATCGCATATTCTATAACCATCAGACCCAAACCAAACCGCGACCCAAGCAGAAGACGAGGGGACAAGGGGTAAGCGAAGCAATACATCAATCTGATCGTTCGTCCACATATCCATCGATACGGACTTAATCTTTGAAATATGAGTCCCTAGCTTCCGGTGCAACGAAGCGCATCGTATGCACAAGAATATCCCCAACTGCGCATTACACCGTAAGCCAAACACAGCGAACGAAAACAAAAGGTGGGAGGGGAGAGTAAATTACACTCCAAGAAGCCCATGCTATTATAGAAAGAAAAAAAAGCCGTCAGTATATATATATATATAAAAGTAAAACGAAGTGAAGGAAATCTGCGCGTAGCTTGTTTTCTTCTTCTGTTTTTCTCCCCTTCTCCAACCTCCTGACGAAACCAAGAAAAGAAAAGCAAAAAGGTAACGGGCATCGAGAGCAGCAAGACAACGAACCTGGATTCCTAGTTCCACAATCCGCACAGCGGTCATTCCCTGGAACACTTTTTATGAGGTCCTGAAGTATGCGCTCGTTCCGAGCCTGTTGACGCTTATTCTTAATCGAAGACATCCTCTCCCCCGCCTCAAATGTGTTCCTCCTCCTATTCTTACAGCTTCGTAAGGAGGTAAGGGGGGTTAGCGCAGGGAAGTTCGCGCGTGGGTGCGTGTGCGGTATGCAGGTAGCTGTAGCCCGTAAATAGTACTTGTATGGGAAGGCCCGCTGTCGTGAGGGTTGTGCACTCGAGTGCCAGTACTTTTTTCCCCTTCTTTCTCTTCTCCTTGGCTCGCGGACCTAGAAAGGGGCGGTAGTGGTGGAGGCACGGCGGGAGGGAAGAAGCGAGAGACACAGGAAGAGAGGAGGTGGAAACTCTGGGGCCTTTCTGGAGGAAAAGAGGTGAAGAGGAGGAGGAAGCAAGGGCAAGAAGGAAAGGATGTGTGTAGGTGGAGAGGGGGGGATCCCAGGTTCGCGCGAGAGCCGTTCCAGAAGGACAGGGAAAAATAGAACGAAGCTAAGTGCGTCTAGATCAGACCGTTTCTTCACTCCTCTCCTCTACTATGCTAGGAAAGTTATCTACATAAATAAATAAGATTGAAGCTATCTACAAAAAAAACCCCGCAGCAACGGGCATGAAAAATATCGGACAACACTGGAGACCATCAGAACACACCATCCCCAACCCTCGACGAAATTTTTTTTTTTTCAAACCAAAGGTCGAAAACGAAGTTAGCAGACAGCGTAACGTGCCTTCCAACGGAGAGTATTAATTATATATATATATAAAACTCTCGATTTTGTTTCCTCTCGAACGCCAATATGACCAAAAAAATTTCTCTGTCAGGGGAGTGAAGTGAACAGAGGGTATGAAAAAACGTTCTTGATCTTGATGAGAGGAGAGGAGAGGAGAAAGAGAAGGAAAAAAAGAAAAGAAAAGGATTTCTGGGATCGGATTGGACCGAGTGGGTGAGGGTTGATAGTCTACTGTATGCCCTGAACCCTTTTTTTGTGTTTCCCACTTCGGTGGTCGAACCTACTTTCCCTCCCCCCTTCAATCTTAAATTTCGCACCACCGACCGACCCTTCTTCAACATCGACACCCCTCCTTAGGCACGATACCGTACTGTACATAACCAATACAATACAATACAATACAATAACCATCAACCCCCCTTCCAAACAAAACAAAACAAAACGAAAACGAAAACAAAACATAACCACAACCAATTGCCTACCTCCCACACCCTCCTCAGTTGAATTCCATCAGGAGTTATCCTGAGCGAGATCGTCTTCAATGGGTGGGAGTCGTACACTTGGTATATAGATGGAAGATTGAAAACGCCGAACTCCACCCTGAGCCTCACGCTTATGATTGAAGGATTCGGGACTATTGTTTGGCGGACATTTCTTTTTCTTTTTTTCTTTTCTCCCCCTTTTCCTTGTATTTTACAGCGCCCACGAGGGGTGGGGATGGGTGAACAATGTCCTTTCCCCGCATTGAGGTGAAGATGTCAGCCTGCATGCGTGTATCAGTTTCTGTACCTGTTAGACTGCATGCACTTTGCGGTCTCACTGGGGGAATCGTACTGTAATACGGTACTCCAATAAGTGTGTGTAAAAGAAAAAAGTGCACAAAATGGAAGGAGTAAATATTCAATTTATGAGGTTTGTTTCCAAGTTACAAATTGAAAGCTAAAACTATCCTACAATACCCAACTCGTGCTATCCCATTCCACCACATCAAGGATTGCTGCTATCCTCTAGTATAAGACACTAATCCGGCTACTACGACCACCTCCCAACGGGCACCTGCAAAAGCGAGTTCTCCTCACTCGGTCCATTTCCATTCGTCGGGCCAGTGCCCTTCCTGGACCCACCGCTGGATCGTGTAGGCTTATTTTGCGCCGCCTCGTGCTTCCTAAAAAACCCACATTCGTAAGTATATCGCTTTTGGGGGAAGGCAGGATGGAAGCAGCAAACCTCAACTCCTCCGGGACCCTGGAAATCTGACTCTTCATAAGCATCTGCTTAAGATCGTACATAACGTCCGCATCGTCATTGCTTAGGAAAGTAATAGCAACACCGCTCTTCCCGGCTCGCCCAGTTCTACCAATTCTGTGGGTATACTGTTCGATGCTAGTCGCCATATTGAAGTTGATAACCAGCGAAACGTCTGGAACGTCGATACCTCTACCAGCCAGATCCGTCGCAACGAGGATATCCGCTTGTCCAGCGCGCAACTGCTGCAACGCCTGCTCTCGCTGGTCCTGGGATTTAGATCCGTGCAGGGTGACGGCGTGCCAGCCGAGGTGCTTGAGGTCTTTCGCGACGGCGTCGCAGTTTCGCTTGATGTTGACGAAGACGATGACCGGGGGCGCGAATTCTCGGGAGTTGAGGATTTCTGCGAGACGCTTCTTGCGGCGGTCCTCAGAGCCGATGAATTCGACTCGTTGCTCGACCGTGTCGACGGCTTCGCCGGCGTTTCCGATTGTGACGATTGCTGGGCGGCGGAGATACTTGCGTGCTATGCGTTCGATGGCCGGAGGCATGGTTGCGGTGTACATCATTGTCTGGCGGAAACGGTCTTTGCCCCCTAGGTGCTTTGACATTAGAACGGGGTTTTCAGCGTCTTCAGTGTCAGGTTTGACATTGTGGACTGGGAGAGCGTCGAGAATCTTATCCACCACCCGGAGAACGAGCTCACTAGTCCCTATTTGGGATCAACTTAAAAGGAGT